TTGCTTCACTGGCCCAAGTTGGCACCATCATTGCGCTCTTCCCAGGCAAGGCAGATCAGTCGCCGGCTTCTGCATGGCCGCTCACTGTGGCTGCTGGCCGCTCACGCTGGCTGCTGGCCACATACACAGTAGCCCATGGCAACCCACTGCAGCAGGGGCTGCAGCCTACGCCATTGCCAGCGACTCACGGCAGCCCAGCTCCAGGTCGAGCTGTTGTTCAGCATCTTAGTTGTAGAGGGCAGTGCCACTGGCCTTCATATGTGGGATCTGAACCAGGGCCCTCTGGCATCCCAAGCCAGCTCTTAACCAATGCGCCACTTAGCCGGCCTGGCACTTACTTCTAAAGCCCAAGAATGCTTAATAGAGGTCACCTGGAGCGATGTCATCTTTTGGGAAGATAGTCAATTGACTACAAGGTAATTTCCTCTTCTAAATACCAGTAATTGCTATACAATGATTTACTTCTGCCAGTAACTTATTCAAGTACTGTGTGATAATGAAATATTGGGCTGTCGGAAAAGTCATAACACATTTTTGCAATGAAAAACATAGAAAAAATACATCATGACTTTTCTGACAACCCAGTATGTCATATGTCAAAATGAGACCGATTTCACTCAGAAAATGAAGACACAGTTCAGATGTCTAAAAGGTTGGTTAAAAAAATTCCTCATTAAAACAAATCTGTTTGATGCAACTGATTATAAAAACAATCACTAATAACTTCCACTTTCAGTCCAGTGTTTTGAATTATTCATCTGAAAACTCATTAAGCAAGTCTAAGTGGATTCAGGCCCAGCCCCTTGCCCTCATGGTACAATGCATCTCAAGTTCAGATCCTTCCATTTTGCAAAGGAAGAAAAACATTAAAAGGCAGAGAAGTCTTTCTGGTGTACATATTTTTTGAGTTTCTTCTCTAAAACTACTGAAGAAGTAGTAAATGGAACCTGCTAGCTTTCAGTTCAGTAGGTATTGACAACAAAATTTCATTTATTCAATATACTGTTAGGAAATTAGATATTCTGTATGCATGGATTTACTAAATAGCGTTTATTAAGTAAGGTGCCAAACATTTTTATTTCTGAAAAGAAACTGATCAAAAGGCATTCACTGGCTTTTTTAGCAAGTATCCACTAGTGATTTGATTTAACCTTTTAATGCAGCTCAGGGTCTTCATTAACTCACAGGTTCATACTCTAAAAAAACCGAGTGGTTTTATAATACGAAAAAACAACTTAAAAAAAGTTGGGTTGAGATATAATTTACAAGCAATAAAATTCACCCATTTTATCTATGAGTTCCAACAACTGCTTTCAGTGGTGTAACCACTTCTACAATCAAGATAAAGATGAATTCCATCACTTCTCATATTCCCTCGTGCTTCATTTGAGTCAATCCCTACCCTTTCCTTCACTCCCAGGCAACCATAATTTCATTTTTAATTAAAAAATAAATACCAGTGATGCCATTGACACGACTGAAGAATTCTATGTTTGACCCTAAAAATCATACACCGTGGCCCAGTTTTTGTAAATAAAGTTTTACTGGAACACATCCATGCCCATTTATTTACTTATTATCTATGGCTGCTTTCATGTTATGATACCAAAGTTGAAGAGTTGCCACAGACACCTGCAAAGCCTAAAACACAGAGAAAGTTTGTTGAATCCCGTTGTAGATTACAGTATGATTATCCTTTTAGCAATTTTTCTTCTTTAAAATATGCTACCACTTCTCAAAGTAACTGTGTAGAGCAATTCTCTTTTTCTGCTACTACTATGCTCTGATTTGATGCTAAGTGGACGGATATACTGTGGACCTAAGTAAAAGACAACTGATTTTATGACATTCATACTCACGTTTTAGGTAACTCAGATAGTTGTGGTAGTTAAAAGTTTGCTGAATAAAATGCTACATCAAGATAATGAAGATCAGGGGCCGGCCGAGTGGCGCAATGGTTAAGAACTCGCTTGGGATGCCAGAGGGCCCCGGTTCGGATCCCACATATGAGGGCCAGTGACACTGCCCTCNAGCACTGTTCCCATCCCCCCAATTCCCCAATAAAAATCTTAAAAAAAAAAATACAATCTATAACAAAGATCTTGGACTAAAAGTTTATATGGGAAAGAAAAGACCTATTCAGTTACTCATCAAAAAAGGATGGGAGGGAAGTGGAATCTAATTAGTTTGAAGTTAACACATTTGACACAGCTTAATACACTGCTGTGTAATCACAATGAAAGAGATGGATGCCCTACTTCTAGACAGTCAGGAGCTAAAAGCACAAAAACCAAAAAGCCTGTGCAGAGTCCCTCACTCTAAAACTCCTTAAAATCTATACACCCAAGAATGAAATGAACATTTACTGTGCACTTCATTTTAATCATTTGTTGGCTGAACAATTGCCTAGTGAACATCTACTAAGCATCAGACATTATGCTACGCACTGAGGGTGCAACGGTGACTGAAACAGTGATGGTTTAATATGTACCCACAGCTGAAGGAGTCCACCCTCCAACAGGAGCAGCTCTCCTCTCTACTACTGCTTGTTACTTTTGACTCTTCACTTTGCCAATCTCAGCTAAGCACAGCACTAGAAACATGAACCAGGTAAAGTGGCACGTCGCTTTTAGTCATAATACAAGCAGCAGGGCTAGAGAGGCACAGTACTTGTATATCAGAGCTGAGATTTTAGAGGCCATCATTCACCTAGAGATTCCACTCACCTAGCCAATAAGAACTAAAGGAAGCAATTTGTCCAGAGTCACATAGCCAAGTCTAGAAGCTAGCCCTTCATATGTGACCTCAATTATGATGCTAATCAATCTTAGTACCCATTAAGAATTACCTCAAGGATTTCAATGCTAGTGAATCTGGCCATGATTTCCAACTCTAGTAATTTGTGGTTATAATTATCTAGGATTGGAGATTAACTCATGACCTCATCATCACCACAAAAGATCACTCATCTGCCATCCCTTAGGCAGTGTATCCTCCCATCCAGAGTGTATAACTGATGACAACAGCACCCTAGTATCAGAATTTAAATCTTTTCAACCCTCCTGGATAGAAAAAAGTAAAAGCCAGAAGTTAGAAAGTCAGGATACCAGAACTAAGAAGGAAGTTGACAAAAAGTTACCTGTGTTAATGACTTTGGGGATAGGATCGATTTCCTCATCTACCACAAAAGGCTCTGGCCTGGGGAAGACTTGCACATCGGCAGTCAGGTGGCCGCACTTGAGAACAGCATGGAAAGGTGTGTATGCCAGATCAATCAGTTTTCTAGAACATGATTTGTTAGACAAAGAATATTATGATACATATGATTTTTTTTTCAAGATGCTGTTTGTTTTCCCTTTGAGTTGACTCCAAAATGATTTGACCATTATGTAAAATAGAACAAAATCTGACATTTTTGGTGAGGCAATTTCAATTCTGAATAGCCCAAAAGCAAGTTAATCTTTGAAACTGCTGAGTCATTATAAGGAAGACAGTTATGTACAGGTATTATAGATTTAGTCATGCTTAATTTAAAAGGGAATAAACTTTAAAAAATCACTACTACCAAGCATTTTACCTGAAAAAATGAGCAACTTGGGGAAAATGAAATGACACAATTAGAAATAGTAAAACAGACATTATTGCTGGATATCAAATTATCATGGATTGTAAGAAGGCAAAAAAGCTTTCAGTATACACTCACCCAAACATAGACTGTACATTTTTCAAGCACAGGGGACCATCAATAGTAAAAATCTGCCCTTCACCATTGTTTAAATCTATGAGACGTTCAAGGCAGTCCAAGGAATCAGTGCTCTGAAGCTGCAAAGCAAAACAGATGACCCTTTTAAAGTGGCACAAAATGCCAGATTATCATCAGCACACTATGTTCACACCCATCACAACAACACAGGCAATAAATATAAATGGAGATAATTTTTTAACAATGTGAAAAAGGAAAACAGCTATAACAATTTTGACTCAAGGTTACTAAGAGGGATGGCATATAAAATGATACCAGTAGAGCTATTCCATTCAGAAGTAGTTTTGCAAAGGTTCTCAGAGATGACCACAGTTGGTATTTATACAGCATCGTCCCTCCAAAGTGTTTTTAACATCTTTTTGGTAAATACCATTATTATCTACATTTTAGATAGAAAAAACTGAGGTGAAGAAAGGTTAAATAACTTTCCTAAGTAAATGGAAAAACCAGGAAACAGAGTTTAATAAAACATGCATCAGAGTAATGTTACTTTATGAAAAAAATCAAAGCACACTTCTGTCAACATTTCTGGTGGGATGGATGTAAGAATTCCTAAATGAGGGAAATATCTAACACCAAAAAGAACATTTTAACTCTTGAGCATCTGAAGAGTGTGGGAACAACTCCAGCTATGTTTCCCAAGATGGGGAACACTGAACTTCAGAGAGCATTTGAGATCTAGAGTCTTTTCATATATAATTAGTGACCAGCCTTGGCTAAAACGAATGGAGTTCAATGTTATAGTATGTGCAATATAATACTAATGGAACACATGTTCTAAAAAATAAACTGAGTCCTAAAATGTATCTAATCAAACTAAGAAAAACTTAGTAAGAAGCATTACCTCCTCCAAATTTGCCATGCACATGATGTATAACTTAGATGGAAAAGGAAAAGGTAGTGGAAACCTGTTGCTCTCGCTTCGCTGACTGTGAGTAGCTAGGGAATGACGCAGTGACCCTCTACCAATGCCAAGGCAGCCATCTGTCACTAGAACAACCTGTTTGCAAAAAGTGAGAGAAGGTTTGTATATGAAATAACACATTCATTCAAAGCAGTCTCATTTAGCAATGTTTCCATTTCTAATTGCATTAGCACTGAAAAACCTAATTCTGTAGGGATACAATGTGAATAAATCTCAAAAACATTTTGTCAAGTGAAAGATGACAGACAAATTGTATGATTCTATTTATATGAAGTTCTAGAACAAGTGAAACAAAGCTAAGATAAATCAAACAGGGGTTCTGGGGTGTGGGGGGATACTGACTAAAAAGGGGCATCAGGAAACTTTGTGGGGTAATGGAAATGTCCTATGTCTCAACTGGCACAGGTGTATGTATTCATCAACACTTAATGAACTGTATTTTACTGTATTTTATCTAATTAAACCTTTTTTTTTCTTTTAAAGATTTTTATTGGGGAATTGGGGGGATGGGAACAGCGCTGGGGAATTGGGGGAAGGGGAACAGATAAGTTGCTATCCTTTTGTTCTTCAGTCTAGTTGTGGAGGAGGTTGCTTCACTGGCCCAAGTTGGCACCATCATTGCTCTCTTCCCGGGTGAGGCAGATCAGTCGCTGGCTTCTGGATGGCCGCTCACGCTGGCTGCTGGCTACATATGGTAACCCATGGCAACCCACTGCCACAGGGGCTGCAGCCTATGCCGTCGCCGGCGACTCACAGCAGCAGCCCAGCTCCAGGTTGAGCTGTTGTTCAGCATCTTAGCTGTAGAGGGCAGTGTCACTGGCCCTCATATGTGGGATCCGAACT